CTTCCACTGGGCAGCCATGAGGCAGCCCCAGGGTCTCCTACCTGGCCTGGCCTCAGCTCTGTGACCTTGTGTGTTTGTCTTGATTCTGTTTTAGGATTCCACAGGAACCCTCCCAATTTTCCCATTGACAGGAACTCGAATTCCCAAAACAAACCTGATCTCATCTGGCCCCTACTTCAGTGGTTCCACTGTTACTGACCAAGCAACCCTCTCTAGGGAGTACAAGGCCTCTCATGTCTCACTCTGTCTTTAAAATCCCATCACTGGCTTTTTTTCCATCATGCTCTTCTGGTTCCAGACACATCCCAAACTTGATTCTCCCTACCTAGAATATCTGTGCCACTCAACTCAGAGTGTGCCCTACCCAGAAGCTCTCCCTGCATCCCCCAGGCTGGACTTCAACCCTTTCTCTGTTTCATGATGTGCTAGTTCAGTCTGACGTTAATGACAGAAAATGTTCAAATCTAGGTAATTAAAGAGAATAAAAGTTTACTATTCAGCTCATGGTTTAGAGACCCAAGAAATGGGGGCCACATCTGGTGGGATTTCCTATTGGAGAGGTCCTGAGGCCATGCAGTGAAGGTGTCTCATAATGACAGAACAGGGGCAGGTGTCTGGTCCCTCTATAGCATGTGTCTTCTGGTCTCTTTCTCTGTCCTTATGACCTCTAAGAAGTCAATTGTAGGGCCCCCATTTCATCACTCCCCACCTTTCAACACCATATGGTTATTATGTTTCCTCTAATGCCTTCATGATAAAGTACAACATGTGAAATGTTTGGGAGACACAAACCACAGCACATAGTGATCTATCTACTCTCATAGCAAATAGCATCAAAAGAAATAGAGAAATATGACAAGTTGTTATTTATAACCCCTTTGGTCCCGTGCTGCTGTGGAGGGCTGACACATCTGGAGGTGGAAAGGAGGAAGCACTGATTGGCTGTGCCTTATTTGACAGCAGCCAGGGGACATCCAGCCGTCTCAAGCCAGACACTTTTTTGTGTGCTGTATATGGATGAATTCACAGAACCATCCCAACAGCCCATCGAGCCAGGCACTTTTATGTGCCTATTTCCCAGATGAGTGAAGAGATCCTAAGAAAAAGTCTCTTGCCCGAGGACTGAGAGTACATGAGAAGGGAAGCCAGTTCTGGCTCAGGTGGTTTGACTCTTGAATCTGGATTCTGTGTCTCTGGTAAATGACAAGCTACTAAGTTTGGAACAGATTCAGAATGAAGGCAAGGGCAGGGTCATTAGGACAGGTATTTTGGGGGTGCAGGCCAAGAAGCAGATACCTGAAGGGTAGGAGGGTGAGTAGAGATGCTTTGAAGAACAGGCATGAAGATCTGAAGTGGCTGGCTCCAGGGTATGTTAGTAAAACTCATCCTCACCTATGTTGCTTCAGTGGAGCCAGTATCTCTCCCTAATGACTGAAATTCAGTGGGAGGGGTTTTCTAGATCAGGGTTTTGACTGTGGGGCCCATTTAGGGAAGGAAAGGAGTCTTTCTCATTTTTAACACACACCTAGCATGGTATGGTATATAGTACCTAAACTATTGTTAACACTAAGCAGAAAGCAGGAGATACTCATAATAATATCTAATGGTCACTAAGGGCTTGTCCTGTGCTAGACTCTATGCCAAGCATAATCCCACAAGGTTAAGTAACTCATCCAAAGTCAAGTAGCTAGGCATGTGTTCTAGACTGTTCCATTGCTAATCACAGAAATGTCTGAGTCTAGGTGGTTTAAGAGAATAGAGATTTATTTGGTTCACAATTTTGGAGGCTAAGAAGCACAAGAGCTTAAAACCAGCATCTAGCAAATCTTACTGCATTACGTGGTAGAGAGCAGAAATGCCCATGCTTGTGCCTTCTTATAAACCCACAAGTATTCAATCATGGGGAACCCACCCTAGTTATCACCTTTCAAAGACTTCACCTCTTAATTCCCTTCATGGGATTGAGTTTTTTCTCTTGATACATTTATAATACAATCAAATTTCAACACATCAACTTCAAACCATAGCACTATATAATGAGGTTGAAATTTGACCCTGGCCTTGGCTCCAGCACCTGCACTCCTGATCTCTACCCAATACTGCCACTTATGGGGATGTCCAGGCCTGGAAGGCCAGGGGAAGGAAGGTGCTGAGGATAGTACAAGCCCTTGGGCTGGCAGCACATCACTAGAATCTCCATCCAGGTGAAAGGGAGGCAGATAGCCTTAGTCTGGAGTATTTTACCAAAGCTACCCCAGGGTTAATCTGACTCTCTCCCTCCCAGGCTGCTTGGATCCTATTCCCACCTGCACTATGGCTACCTCCCTGATGCCCTGGTAGACCTCACAGGAGGGGTGGTCACCAGTGTCAACCTACACTCCCTCCCTTCTGAACTGGTGATGGCTGTGAAGATAGCAGCCAAGACAGGCTCCCTGATGACCTGTGCCACTCCAAAAGGGGTGAGTAGACAAGAAGACCATTTGCATAGGTTCAAGCCTTTCCTTACCTGGGAGTGTCCAGCCAGTAAAACACTGGCCAGGGAGGGTTGTGGCAAGCAGCCATTTATGAAGCACAGTTGGTGTGATTTCTCCTTTCAAGATCATCTCATTTGATCCTACGACAGCCCTCTCTCTGAAGCAGATTGTAGAACTCACTTTGCAGAAGAGGAAGTAGGCTCAGAGAAGTTGATTAAATTGTTCCTTCACCACACAACCCATAAGAGACTGATGCCAGAAGGGTAGTCATGTCAGCTGACTCCAAAGCTACATCCTATTGCTTTTTAAAGACCAAGAGCAATAGTGTCCAGGGTGCCCAGAGGGCCTTGACCACCTCCTGGTGACGGCAGCTACAGCTCCTGTGGGTAGCTCCTTTGTATTTTTGCCTTAAGATTATTAGGAGCTCTGAGGCCCTTTGTTCTCACTGTCTCTAAAATATTATGTGTCACATTTTGAAAAGTCTAGATGACTGCAGATTGAGTCTGTTCTGGGACATCTGGCTCCCTGTCATGGGGTAATTCCTTCACTCTTTAAATGTGTGGGCTTTGAGCCACACATCCTCAGTCTGAAACATCATCAGAAACCTATGGTGTACAATTACAGTGTGGGGCTTGGGGGACTCCTGACTCTTGCAGATGACCCAGTAGACACATTGTGTGCTGTATCATGACAGGACATAAGTGGAGCAAGTCAACCAGGTCCTCGGGAGGCTGTCAGGTTCCAGAAGTCAATGG